AGAAGCGAGGAACTGCCCGTGTGGAGTCACCGTGCAGAGGGGAAAATAGGCAGCAAGGATACGCACAGAAATCTCCTGAATGTATGGATAAGGTGCTAAGACTTTTGCTGAATGTGACAGTGATGACGCTGAATGTCACAAGTGGTGACAGAAGTGGCATCAACCACTCTTTGTAGCGGTGCTCCCTGTACTGCTCTCGGCCACATGTCTGTGGGAAGTAGCCTGCATACCAGAAATAATTGGGACCCCTTGCTAATCCAACTCGGTCAAAAGTAGGTCGTTATCACTGTTGTCTTCACTGACCAAGAGCGATTTTTCTTGCTAAGAGAGAGCCCAGGCAATACGGAGTAGACAAAACATAAAAGTTAGGTAGCGGAGACTCTTGGGGGTATCTAGAGAGCAATACGAACTGGAAAATGATCAGATGCATAAAGGGAGTTTACAAAAAGCTGAACTGGAAGGCTTTTCCTCATAGCCTAAGACATATTTTCTCTCAATACTGATTTTCTGTATAGATGTACTGCTGGAATAGCGCAGAGTTGTGAATTCTGGACTAGATGCAACAGTAAGGCTTTTCCCAGGGTTTCTCCTAAGGATTAAGAAATCTTAAAAATCTTTCTGTTTCTCAACCAGCCCAGACATTATCCACATCTGTAATATTGTTTTAAAGTCACAATGACCCTTTTTGAAAACATTTTGTGCAAAACATATTTACTTTTAAATGGAAACCAAGGCCTGACATGTCCTCTCTCTTATACATTACATAATGTCATAGCTCACTGTCTTCAAATGTTCTGGTGTTCACGTACTTTCCAAGAGAGAAGGGACTCCCACCTTACAACCATTTGTCCCACTGGGGCAGTGTAAATGTCTCGGAGAGTAGCAGTTACATGTCACTTACACAAAAATTTGCCCCTTAGTGCTGCTAGTTTCTAGACAGCAGTAGACATTTTCCTTTCATGCTGAGCTGCCATGCCATGCAGAAATGACATCTAAGGGACTGTCTGAATGTAATCCTTTAGAAAAAAAAGCAGCATACAGAGAGGTGAGGAGAACAAGACAAAGAAGGATTTCTCCCCTCAAAACAAATGGAAAAGCTGGCATAATTGCTGCTAAGAACTGTTGGTTGTTGACCTCCCGTCAGACACTTCAGATAGTCTCTGGGACTAAGCAAGCACAGTGCCATGTTGGGCTGTACCAACCAAACCTCTGTTTCCAGGCCAGGCTGGAGAAGCTCATCAAAGACAAATGATAAGAAAAGCAGGTGTGGGTCACTGAGGGGTGTTCCTGGCCACATCTCCCTGAGAGATCTCTGGCACTGGTACTGCTATTGTACAGTGTTAATTAGATCATTCTAATTAATTCATTCGAAGTGTAAATTAGGAAGGAATGAAGATAAATTACTCTAATACATTTAACCCCATGCTGTTTATTTAGCAGTTGAACAAAATAATGTGGTTAAAAGAGTCTAACAAGGCAAAAGCCCAAGACACAGCTGTTTAATAGCATTAAAAATGAGATCTCAGTCTGTTCTGCGGGCACATACAGCTTGTTTGCATTTAAAAGGGTTGCCAAGATAGCTGTACTGGCAAACCCTGCTAGTGTAGATGCAGCTGATACTAACAAAACAAAACAAAAATTTCGATCTCCTGAATGTAACAGCCTGCACTGGTAAATAGTTTATTTTGCTGGTAGAGCTCTGTCTGCGTTAGAGTTCTTGCTGGTGTGGCTAGGGTAGTCTGGAAGATGTTTTAGCTACAAAGGCATGCCTGCAAAACTTTTAAGTGTCAATAAAGCCATATTATAAAGTTTGCTATACATTCAAGAATCCAAGAACTTGTCTCAACACAGAAGCCAAGCCAATTTAAATAAAGTGTGAGGTGAAACTCATTTAGTTAAACCAGCAGTGCTTCTAAGCATAGCAAGCTGGATTTGAGCTGAACAAAGAAGTTTTTGCTACCCCAATTGTTTTGGAGTCAAACATGGCACTTAAAATTCCAGAGATTAAAACAGAAAATATTTGGGGTTTTGTACGCCTTCTATTTTTGAAGGCCACACTTCCACTCCACAAAGTCATTGTTAAATCTTTTTTATTAAAACAAATAAATAAATAAATGCAAACCCTAAGAGATTATCAATTTCACATGACTCTAGAAGCTGAGGCTTTGAGAAAAATGCCAATTATCTTGTGATTTGTGATAAAATCATGATATTTAGCAACACTTCAAAGATCCTGGCATACAAATACTGGGAGAAACATGTTTAAACTAGTCCAGTGGGCATGTTAAACTATGTCCTGGGATAGGCTAGGCCAACTTTGTTTTCAGCAGTGTCAAAATACAGATTGGCCCATCTACAAAACTGGCTCAACCGGAACCATGTTTAAATGTGACCTGTCTTAGACCAATTTAAACTGGGCCAAAGATTTGCTTTGGACCAGGTTGATTTGTTGAGTATTTCTCCCATGATAACCAGGCAAGGATTCTTGTTATAAATGTGATTTAAGCTGCCTTTACAACCAGAGCTGCCTGGTGTTAACCCCCATGCAGGGAGGAGCAGAGGTGGTATGGATGCTCTTTGTCATCTGGTATGAAAAGGAGCTTGTAGAAAGAAATTGGGGAGAACCACTGTTGTGGTCTGTAAGCCTTTCAGGTGTGGAACTGGCAGAGGACTACAGGGTTACTTTTTCTTCTCCTCCCCTTTCTGCTCCCACCAACAGCCCTGTTTCATACAGTGCATGTGCGCTGACTTACATGCATGCAGAAGGGGTTGTCTGGCCATGTAGCTGTTTCCCCAGCAGATGATGTCTTGCTTCATCCAATTATTCTGCCCTGATTAACTTCAACAGGTTCCTTGTTTTATGGGGGACAAGGAAGACCAGTACTTCATCTGGTCCATCTTTTATAGGATTACTAGCTCATTCTAGTCACCCAGAGTATTGTCCAAATATGTGAGCTGTGAGCAGCTGTGTAAGCCTTGTATGTTGTCCTCTCTACAGAGTTCAATTTTCATTGACCATTCCTCATCACAATGAGCAAAATCAGTCCCATGGCACAGATGTCATCACTGAGCAATAGATTAATAACGTTGCTATTTCTGTTTTTCACTCATGGTGATCACTCATCTGCCTGTTTGAAGGGAGCAGAACAGATCTGACACTGCAGGAAGTGATGTATCCCTTGTTTTTTGGTTGTATTGGATGATAAAATCTGACTTTCTGATACCTGACTATGGAGAATTCACCATAATGGAATTAGCACCACTAGGGCAGGATTTGAGTGGAATCTCTGCAGGCTTTGCTGGGGAAAACTGGGAGAAAAAAGGATCAAAATATTTTGTGGGAAATATTATGATGAAAGGAAAAACCCAGACTTGCAATATGGACAATCTATGGTGCAAGAAAGGTCAAACATTCACAGACTAATTCAAAATCCACTGGACCTGCTTGACTCAAGTGAGCATGGAGTCCACGAATACCCCTTGTGTAGGGTCATTTACAATTTCCAAGAGCTTCTCACACCTAGATAGTTTTGAAATACACTTTATTTATTACATAGTGATACACAACATTTTCAGACCTTGCAATCTCCAATTCTTCATGTCATAATCAAACAGTACTGTAAAAAGAAATAGCCTGTGAAACAAATTACTCTCATCTGCTCTCAGCTTAGGCATGCTCTCTGTGCCTGCATACATCCCCTGGCCCTCTAGAATTTCAGATGTGTCCTGCTATACGCTGAGTGTGTGCTTATCTGCAGTCTTTGCAGTCCAGCAGCAGAAATACAAGTAACCCCCTGGAAGCTAGTGAATTGCTTACCGGGCTTCTCTCCAACAGGAGAGACGTAGGTGACATTTCTTTATGGGGAACAAATGAATTCTCCAAACTGTTACATGCAGCTAGGAGTTTCCTGCTGGTGGGAGCGAATAACTGCTCTTATCTTCCTTCAAGCTTCTTTAGACTAATGCCATTGCTGCAAACTGTGTTAGCAAATGGCAAATCAGCATTGTGCACAATGTGTAGAAGGGTGTCGTGCATTTCTAATTTCGTTGCTGTTGTTGAGAGCTGCACAATACCATTGTGTAAACACCGCTGTTATGTCTAGAAAATGTTTATTTCCGAAATCGGCCTTTTTGCACAAGAGCGTTTTTCTCATGCTTGGTTAATGGGCAAATAATTAAAGCCAGGCTCCAGCTTCCCGGCGGGGCGAGGGGCAGCGCGGCGCTCGCAGCCTTCGGGACCCTTCGGCGCGGGGCTCGGCGCATCCTCCGCGGGGCTCTGCGCACATCGGGAGCCCGGCTGCTTGTCCCACACCCCGGGCGGCTGTTTTCCCCGTCTGCCGAGCGGAGCGCTCCCCCTCAGCCGCTGCGGGACCCGCGGGAGCCCCGCCGCCCCGTGCGGGATGCGGGCTTATGTGACAGCGCTGCTGCTGCTGCTGCTGCTACTACTGCTGCTGGTGGTGGTTGTGGTGCTGGTGGTGGTGCTGCCGCCCGCTTCCCCCACGTCCCTCCCCCGGGTGTCACCCAGCCGCTTTGCATGCGCTGTCCGCCCGCCCCCCGCCCATATACCCCTTCCCCGCTCCGCCGCCGGGGCAGAGCTGCGGCCCGACGGTGCCAGCAGCAGCAGCAGCAGCAGCAGCAGCAGCAGGAGCAGCAGCAGCAACAGCGGCCGCCCCTTTCTTCTTTTTCCTCCTTCTCCTTCCCTTCCTTCTCCCCTCCTTCCCTGCTCGGCCCGCCTCCCTCCGGCGGCACCACCTCCGCCCGGCAGCGCAGCCTGCCCGGCCGCCTCTCCGCGCCCCTCCGCGCCCCTCCGCACCCCGCTGCCCTCCCATGCGCGGCGCTGCGCCGGCCGCGGAGGCACAGGGGACGCCGCGGAGCCGCTGCTGCTGCTGTAAGTCGGTGCCCGGCGACCTGTTGCGCGGCCGCGGAAGGAAAGCGGGAGGGCTCCGCACCGCTCCGCACCGCTCCGGGACGGGGGGATTGGGGTAGGGGGCTCCGCGGCCGCGCTGCGCCCCGGGCACGGCACGGACCGTGCTGCCCCGAGGTGCCGGTGATGGGCACCGGGGGTCCCCGCTGCCCCCGGGGAGCCCTGCCGGGGGTCGCGACACCCCCGGCGGCGGTGGGGAGGGAGCGGGAGCCGCGGGGCTGGCTGCGGAGCGGCTGCGCCTGCTCCCGGGCAAAAAGTTTTGCACGTGGTGGTGGGTCTGTAAAGGGCAGCGCAAGGCGGCCGGGCTCCTCGCGCTGTTTCTGGGGAGGAAAACTGAAGTTTTGGTTTCAGAGAGGGCGGGGAGGGGGAGCCGCTTGGGCATCGCGACCGGGTGAGCTGCGGGGAATCCAGAGCCGGGTTTCTTTGTCTGCGTGCGGTGAGCAGCGCTGCATTCCTTGCAGGAGCAGCGTGCTCTGCTTTCCGTCCCGCTGCAGGTCCCAGGAAGCCGCCAAGGTCCTCCTGGAGGAGCTGGGGCGGGATCGGGGTCCGGCTCTGCGGGGCTGGTGGCAGCGCTGCGGGGCTAGCGGCTGAAGGCAGGACCGATTCAATCAATGGGACGTACAGCAGACTGCCTCTCCTCCAGCCGTTTCACTGATCCTGCACAAAATTCAACCAGCCCCAAGTAATTACAGGGTCGTAGTAAAATGACTCTGCACCGTGGCTGTGTCAGTAATTTGAAAATACCTATTTTTACACTTGGTTTAGGCTGAGACCTGCATGCCGCCGAGCTCCAGAGAAGTAGGGCAGGGAGTCTTGTTCAGCCTTAAAGTAGTGTTTACTGCTGGGCTGCTGTGACAAGTAGCCTGTTGAAGTGTAATTATAAATCAAAGTCTTGGTTGAACCTCTGCTCCTAGATAAAATCTGTATCTGTAATTTGCTGACCACTTCTTGTCTTTTACATACAAATATTATTATTTCTAAGGAAAAGTTGCCTGAAGGGAGTTGACTCATTTTATTCAAGATGAACATTTGCTCACTGACTGTAAATTACCTCCGCTGAAGAATTTGAGGCTTGCATAATTTCCAGCAGCAAATAGAGAAATCAGAGATGTCATTTATGCCGTTTAATATTCCAGTGAGATTCTGGACCCAGCTAATTGTTAGGACCTGCTAAAGGACGCTTACAGAAACACTGCTTGTTAGTAAATTGTGATAATTGCCTTTAAGGGTGTTTGACTAGTCCATGTGTGAGCTAATCTCAGCAACCACAGCGGAGGAAAGAGATGCGTATAGATATGTATCTTTGCTCTGTTTGGGGAAATATGTTAGCTTATCTTAAATGTGAATTGGCATACTTTGAATTCTTCTCAATAGATGACATTGTGGTGATAAAGGCGATGTTACTGGAACAGTTAAAGACCAGGGTATGTGAAATGGACAAGTGGTTCATAAGACATGACATCGCTCACAGAAAGACACGGTTTTCTGTTCTAGTGGGGTGAAATGCTGAATGCCTTTCTCAGGAGCAGTCTGAGAGCCTATCTCTCCATTTTTTAACAGTAGCGTTTGTTACTGAGGCTGTGGGTGGGCTTGGGTAACGTGCAGTGATCTGTTCCTCCCCTCTGCATATGGTCTGTAGCTCACTAGCCTCCAACGTGTGCTTAGCTGCAGGGTGGGTTTTTTAAGTTTGCATCTATTTTGTTGTGGTTGTGGGCTCGTTCTGAGCGATCCTTCGCCAGTGGTGCTTGCAGGAGTGCAGAGCCCCGTGAAAGACCTGAGCGCCTGTGTTTGCAGCCTTTGACATGAACTTTACCAGCCCTGTTTATAAATCCTCTCTGCATGGTAAAACAAAGTTTTCAGTGTGTTCTGAGTTCCCCCAGCATATAGGGGTACAGGATAAGAATCATGTTTCCTGGCATACTGTAGAGATCATGGCACGCTTAGGCTGTGGTGTCTACATTATCACTTAACTGGGAGGGAGAGGAAGGGGGGCAGTGAGCATCTTTAGTCTTCAGATCCTAGTGACTCTATTGTCTCTGATCGGTGGGTGTTTAGCTCCCATTCTGCTCCCTGGCAATTAGACCTTGCAGGATTAGTTCCTCAGTGCCAGGAAAGACAAGCTGTAGACATCTAGTGAATGCTGTGTGTTGCATGGTAATGGCATTAAAAAAGGTAAAGTCTGTGGAAGTTTTAAAAACTTGCAGGGGATTCTTTGCCAGTGATGGGTTCCCCTTCCCATCTGTGTCTCTCCACGGTTTGTGTTCTAATGTTTTGAGCCATGACCCTTTCTGTAATCCTTCAGTTTCAGCAGGTTTCAACCTGAGAGTGTATGGTCAGTGTAATCTTTTTGGCTATAGATTAAGTGAGTAATTTTAGCCCAAGATTAGTGTTCAGGATCCTTGAATGGCATCTCAGTCTTTATTTGCCAGACTCTTTGCCAGTTAATACAATTGCATTAAAGATTATTTCATTTTTCTTGTAAAAGGATTTGTGCTGTGAGGATGTGCCATCCTCCCTAAATTGTTCTGTGCTGAGTGTTAATGCATTGCAAAGGCTGGTTTAGGGAACATGGTTTTAAAGCTCCTTTTCAAACTTTTGCATGGTAGAGTGAGCCAGGTGCTCTGCCTTGTGGCTGTCATGAGAAGTGTTCCTTTGCAGTTTTGGAGGAGTTTGGGCTGAGCACTGTTTACTGAGCTGTATTGCTTGCTCTTTTCAATCCTATTTGAACTGCACCAGGGAAGTCATTTTCCAGATTATAGGAAATGAGTTATGGTAGTTTTGCAGTAAGGTGTCTCTTTGTTTCTTAATTGGTGTTGGCTTGGGGGTGGTTTATTTTTTTTTCCCCTGTGACTGAAGTGAAAGGTATATGAAAAACTTGCTGTTGTATCTGACAAATTGATTATTCTGTATATTATTTAGGGAGGAGGATGGTGCTGACTAAGTTGTATCTAATCTGTATTTGTTGAAGAGTGTGTGTATATTCCATATGCACAAGCAGGATGTTCTTAAATGGGGTCTGTTGGACAAATGAACCATCTGTGGTGTTGATTTTGTTGAAGGTTCTGGTCATCTGAACCTAGAAAAACAAATTATTTAGTAAAGTTTTTTGAGGGTTTTCAACCTCTTGTGTCATCTTTAAGTGTGAAATGCAGGAATAGAGTTGTACAGTATTGCTTAAACATCCTCAGGAATATGAAAATGTTTGAGTCTGTGAGAGAGGGAAGTGCACCCATGTTAAACACCTCCACAGGCAGTCCTGGGTCATGCTCTGACTTTGAGCACTGGGAGCTTCCCAGGTAGGCTCTCACCCCGTTCCTTATTTGAAGGTGCAGTAAAAGGGACTCTGAGCATGAGAATATCATAGTTATTAGGGAAGTCTGGTGTTCTTCTTTCTCCAAGCTTCCTCTGCAGAGAGAAGTGAGATGATTACAATAGCAATCACAGCCATAGCTTGCAGTGGGCTCCATATGCTCCACCTCTTATTTGCACTGTGGCTTTTTGGCCATTGTCTTTTTGTGGTTGCCAGTATTCCTCCTTCTCCATGTGCTCTGCCCTGTTTTGGCTCAACTCTTAATTAAATCTAGAATCTTGCTCCTTTAATCACATGTAAGCCTACATATCATGGCAGATAACAGGAATATTCATCTCCAGAGAGAGACTGAACAGCTCTGTGTTTGTCAGGAGTAGAAGAACAGTATGGGGTATGCCTTGTGTTTTATGTCTCCTCCACACCTCGGAAGTAACCAGCAGCTGTCAATGGCTTGTGCTCTGAGTACCTGACTCTTGAGGTTAGCTCCATCACAGCGATGCCTCAGTGGCTTCAGCTGACAATGAAAACACAACTTTTTGCTGACTCTGGCCACATAAATGCTGTATCATTACAGCAGGCAGCTGCTGGCAGAGTTCGAGATGTAATCTCTGAAATACAATCATAATATATATTTTTTTAGGGGTTTTGCAAGTTTAAACCTATGATCCTTGCTAGGTTTTCCTTTTAAGGCTACCCTTTTTCATTCTCTGCTGTTGCATATGGAATCATTATACCAAAGCGAAGCTTCCTAATGGGATTAGTAGTTTTTTTGTTCCCCGTGCAGCTTTTGACATTCCTTAGGTATTCTGTCTGGTAGCTCTTCCTGCTATGATTCAGTACAGGAGAATGTTTCAAGCATGTGCATGTGTACATATGTAATGAATCAGCTGGTCTCGACTGGGGAAGGGTGAGAAAATCAGTCCTGGTTCCTTTTCTTTCTCCTCCGACTTACATGCTTACACTATATTGCTATGAAAGTTGGAGATCAGGTTTCCCAAGATAAACCTGCTCTTGGGCAACAAATTTGGAGTATGTCATTTATGAAACTCATCTAACAAAAAAAAATAAACACATGCCAAAGGTAGATGCAATTCTCTGTCCACTCATCTATAAATTAGGGCTTTTTCCCATCTTATAGTGAATAGTAGATACACTTTTTGATATCTAAAAGGAACAGTGAAATTATTTGTCTCATTAATTGTATTATTATTTTTGTTTGTTCGTAGGTGTGGAAGAAAATGTCAGTCAGCATGCATGAAAATCGCAAATCTAGGGCCAGTACTGGCTCCATAAACATATACTTATTCCACAAGTCATCCTATGCTGATAGCGTCCTTACTCACCTGAACCTCCTGCGTCAACAGCGTCTCTTTACAGATGTACTTCTCCATGCTGGAAACAGGTCATTCCCCTGCCACAGAGCTGTTCTGGCTGCTTGCAGCCGCTATTTTGAGGCAATGTTCAGTGGGGGGCTGAAAGAGAGCCAGGACAGTGAAGTCAACTTCCATAACTCCATTCACCCAGAAGTCCTGGAGCTGCTTCTGGACTATGCGTATTCCTCCAGGGTTATCATCAACGAGGAGAATGCAGAGTCGCTGCTGGAGGCCGGCGACATGCTGGAGTTCCAGGACATTAGGGATGCTTGTGCAGAGTTTCTGGAGAAAAACCTTCATCCCACCAACTGTCTTGGCATGCTGCTGCTGTCGGATGCTCACCAGTGCACCAAGCTTTATGAACTCTCTTGGAGGATGTGCCTTAGCAACTTCCAGAGTATCAGTAAAAGCGAAGACTTCCTCCAGCTGCCCAAAGACATGGTAGTGCAGCTCCTTTCCAGTGAAGAATTAGAAACAGAAGATGAAAGGCTGGTATACGAATCGGCTATCAACTGGGTCAACTACGACCTCAGTAAGCGTCACTGCTATCTGCCCGAGCTCTTGCAGACGGTGAGGCTGGCCCTCTTGCCAGCCATATACCTCATGGAGAACGTGGCAATGGAAGAACTTATCACCAAGCAAAGGAAAAGCAAAGAGATAGTGGAAGAGTCGATACGATGCAAGTTAAAGATCTTACAGAATGACGGAGTGGTCACTAGCCTGTGTGCCAGGCCCCGTAAAACTGGCCATTCGCTTTTTCTTTTGGGTGGACAAACCTTTATGTGTGACAAGCTGTACCTGGTGGACCAAAAGGCAAAGGAGATCATTCCGAAGGCTGACATACCGAGTCCACGGAAAGAGTTCAGTGCTTGTGCCATAGGCTGCAAAGTGTATATCACTGGGGGACGGGGATCAGAAAATGGAGTCTCCAAAGACGTGTGGGTGTATGACACTCTTCACGAGGAGTGGTCGAAGGCTGCTCCCATGCTGGTAGCTCGGTTTGGGCATGGCTCTGCCGAGCTGAAGCACTGCTTGTATGTCGTAGGAGGACACACCGCTGCAACAGGTTGCCTTCCAGCTTCCCCTTCAGTATCCTTAAAGCAAGTTGAACAATATGACCCCGTCACCAACAAATGGACCATGGTTGCCCCACTGCGAGAGGGAGTGAGCAATGCAGCTGTAGTCAGTGCGAAGCTTAAGCTGTTTGCTTTCGGAGGTACCAGTGTCAGCCACGACAAGCTGCCCAAAGTTCAGTGCTATGATCAGTGTGAAAACAGATGGACAGTACCAGCCACCTGCCCCCAGCCCTGGCGCTACACAGCTGCAGCTGTTCTGGGTAACCAGATTTTTATTATGGGTGGAGACACCGAATTCTCTGCATGCTCCGCTTACAAATTCAACAGTGAGACGTACCAGTGGACTAAGGTGGGAGATGTGACAGCCAAGCGAATGAGCTGCCATGCAGTGGCATCTGGAAACAAGCTGTATGTTGTTGGAGGCTACTTCGGCATTCAGCGATGCAAAACGTTGGACTGCTATGATCCCACGTTAGATGTATGGAACAGCATAACAACCGTGCCCTATTCGCTAATTCCCACAGCGTTTGTCAGCACATGGAAGCACCTCCCCTCATAATTGTGTGTGTGTTGCAATTAGAAATTATCAGGTAAGAAACAGCACCTTTAAATTCCAGAGTAATAATGTTTTTCACAAAGCTTTCAGCCGCAGCTCTGGGGAGGGTGAGTATATGCAACCCACGGGCGCAGCTGGACCAATGAGGCACATACGTTCACGGGCTGCTGTAAGCCAGACACTGAGGCTGTGACAAAGCCAGGTGCTGCAGGTAGTTTGCCACATTCCCTGCATCCACTGCTCTTCGTGGAGCTTTTTGCTGCATGATTTAGATGATGAAAAATGTTATTTTTGCTAGATCCTGTGCTAGTGGGGAAATGCAGAGAATCTTTTGAAACCTGAATCCCGCTCTACATTTAAATAGCAAATGCTTGCTAAGCAAGGGTTCCGTGCTATTTTCCTGACTGCACAAGCCAGGTCACTGTATATCCAGTAGCTGGGATTGTAAATCCTGATCTGAAGCATGATAGTGAATTCACTTGCATTTCCAGGCAAGCAGCATGCTTTCCCCTTTGGGGAAACTTGCTGACTTACATCCACGAAAGGTGTTTTACGAGCACTTCAGGCCTGGTTTTCTATCTCGCCTAGACAGCAAGGTCGCACCTGCCTGGGCTAAGGTTGAATTTGGCCCATTGATACACTTTAAAGTACATATTTTTCAAAATATTTATGGACATATATGTTGGGCTAGATGTAGTGTCAGGAAGACATATAATTAATATTGCTGGCTGAAATAATTACCAGTCTATAGCACACAATGTTCCAAAACAATTTAATTATACATAATGGGCCAAGCTCTTACCAGTTGCAACTTCAGCATTGTGTCTTCTCACAAGTAAGTCTCTATGTGGCCTCACTTGTTTCATTCTTGTAAATTTCTGATTTTTAGGAGGAAGGGAGAAAACATTCGTTAAATAAATAAATAAATCTGGGTACCTACACATATTGCCAACATCCTTCAAAACTCTTTTTTTTTTTACGTGCTAGACTGCTACCTGTTCCAACTAATTCCCGCTTTTCCTAATTTTTATCCTTCCAAGTGTTGCATCACTTAAAATATGTTACTGAACTTTTTCCAGAACTGTTAGTCTATGTATTTTGCAACAGATCTGGCTGACGCCTGCTAGTGTTGTTGTATTGCTTTTCTCCCCCTGGGAGACCTCAGAACAGAATCGCTGTTACCACCATACAGAAGCATAGTGGCATTCTTAATCCTAAATAATCTGCGTGACCTGTGAGTGGTAACTTGGTTTTGGATTTG